AATAGAAGATAGTGTGAGAAATGTATGGAGCTGCAGCTTGGAAAGTTGATGGGCACAAAAGTGTCCCCCACCAGTGGCCACTCTTGCCTCTCCAGAGGCATGGTGTACAGAGGTCACTTGAGAGAGCTGAGGGCAATGTTTTTGTATTTTTTACCAAATACTACAGAATATTTTTATTTTTAGTTTCTTTAGTTTTTTTCTATAGGGTATGTGCACTTACCAGAGAGAGATGGGGGAGGAGATTATGGGTAAAGTAAGAAATTATACTCCAGTGGGGATAGCTATGCTACAATCCCTTCTCCTTCATTCTCCTCTAGGGATTTTAGGCATGCCTGCACATGCACCCAGTGTGATTTTCAAGCAGCCAGTTTCAGAACTCGAACCACACAGTCAGCTTTGTGAGACTCAGATGACTTAACCTATACACCACCTACTGGACTGAGCATTTTAATATTTTAACAACCTCTTTTTCTGGAGCATTCCATCTGAATATCATCTCACTCTTGCATATTGGAATGCTTGTCATTTATACACACACACACACACACGTTCCACTGACCGAAGCAGACCAGACCCCCACCCCCAGAACACTGTGTGGATTCACATACCTATACGTCTCTATATGCATAAGTACATGTATGTGTATCACTCACCAGAAACACTGCTCTTTAAAAAATTACTTGTTTGCAATTCTCCTAAGAAAATGGAGGCTAGCTATGATTCTGACTTCAGTCCCTACTGCAATTCTCCCATTGTCTTTCACAAGAATAGCGAGGTACCTAACTGTGTTACTTACTTATAGCCTCTCAGCCACATGTCCACCTTTCACTCTGTTCTATAAACTGGGAACTGAAAATCTGAGCACTCTGTTTCCCAGGCCCCTTTGCCAACCGGTTCCATGCCATCAGGAGACACTGAGTGGGTGGCCAGAGGGGAAAGGGTGCTGTGTTGCTGTTCTCTCACACCTTTTGCTGTCTCTCCCCACCACCCTCTTTTGTTTTTTTCTTTTCTTTTCTTTTATATTCTTTTGTTTGGTTGATTTTTTTTTTGAGACATTTTTGCTATAAGACACATGCATTCCCCAGAGAGACAGAAAGAGAGAAATCACCCCCCAAGGGAGACAGCCACACCCCAATCCCTTCTCCTCCAGTCTCCTTTTGGGATTTTGGGCATGCATGCACATGTGCCTGGCATGAGTTTTAAGCCTCTGGGTCTGGGACTTGAACCACGGTCAAGTACATGGGAGTCCAGTGATGTAACCACTATGCCATCTATTAGTCATGCCCCTTTGTTTTTTTGACAAAGACTCTGGAAGAATCTCCAGTCCCTCGTCCACAGCCCAGGTCTGGAGTGGCAGCTCTCTCTCTGTTCTCCTAAGTGATGGGACCATTACCTTCTCCCTTCTGTGCCCCTAAGCACAGAGGTGGCAGCTGCTTCCAGAAGCTATTAATCTCTGGTTTATTTCATTTTACCCATTTTTGCTTTCCAATCTGTTTCTTATATTAAATCCCCTGTTTGACATAGCTAGTGTTCTTTTTACTTTCTTGGACAATACAGTAATCTTTCCAAAATTGGTATAAATTCACTTTTGAGTTTACCATGAAACCTCAAAAGTTTGTGGGAAAGTAGAATTAATGTAAGTTTACTTTGGTGCAAAAAATTTTTTGCATAGTTTTTTCATAAGACCATTTTCCATGAATTTTTGGAAGACTTCCTATATTTTCATTAAGGACCAATGAAATGGTATATAAAGCTAACTTGAAAGTGGACTGACTGATGCTTACCTTTTTAGGCTAACTAATAGGTTTTCCTGCATGCTGTTGTGGGTTCAAATAAAGGTCACTTGCTCCTCTTTTCCTGCTCTTTGCAAGACTGTAGGAGGATGGTTGAGGAATGTTTTGCTGGGTATCTCCGTTTACCATGTCATCCTTAGAGAAAAAAAAATCTGATTCTTTTTCACATTTGACTTTCAATTCTTTTTCATTTGCTCTTATCTCCACATGAGCCCAACTTCACTTTTCAACCTTTCTCCTTGACCTTCATCTGATCCGTCAAGTAATCTCTCCTCTTCCTTTCCTTTTGCACTTGAGTCTGATGAATCATATCTTCACCTGTGTCAAATGTAGCATGCTGGTTTTCATTCGTAAGAGCCTCTCATACTCAGAGCTTGTATTATCAGAAATTTCTCCTAAGCTCTAGAGTAGTTCTTGTCCACATGTTTCTTAAAACTGAAAACACAGCCCCATTGTGTACCAGCAATCTTTAGTTCTTTGGCTATCAACCTCAGTGACACTATTACAATCTATCACATGATCCTTTACCTATTTTCAAGTTGGGTTTTATTCATTTTCGCTATCAGTTTCTGAACATAAATGTGTTTTTACTTCATGTCTTTGGATTTTTTTTAAACCGTCAGTTTCTTAAACTGTTAGAAACTCCTGGGTGTAATTGCATCTGCTTTGGCAATGAGTCAGATGAAAGCTATTTCTTTACAAAAGTGCTTAAAAATCTTGGTGTCTAATGGCTTCAGTTCAGGTCCTGGAGAATCAAAGCAGCACACACAGACCGGCATCCTGTTTGGCATCTGGTTTCTTTTCACAAAAGGTACTGCATCCAGTGAGTCCTTAAATGTGGGCTCTCAACGTAGACAGCAACAGACTGCCAACAAAACTTGATCAACTAAATATTGTGAGTGAGCACTGAATGCTACCTTATTGGATTAAGGCTTGGGACTATTCCATCTGCATAGCCTTTTAAATCAATTTGAGGGACCTGGATACTGCATGAGTTAATTCATGATAACTTTCCCAAAATAAAATAATCAATCATAAGTGTTAATTGAGGAAGTCATAGCAAATACTCATATTGTATGCCAGGAGCAGTTCTAAACACTTTAAATAGGTTAACCTATTTGATCACTAAGCAAGCCTATAAGGGAAATGTTATCATCATCTCCATTTTGCAGAAGAAGAAGTTGAGGTATAGAGAGGATATATAACCCACTCCTAGGTCACACAGGTAGTAGGTGGCATACTGAAGATTTCACTCTGGGGTTCATGTTCATAACCACTCCCCCAAACTGCCTCACAAACCTTCTCTTCCACATCCTGACTTGAAATATTTACCAACTGTTTCTAATTATCCAGCTTCTCCCATGAAAGTACTTTATGCTCTGGTAATGCTCTTCTTAGTACAACAATCTTCATATTGATCCACAAAGTTCTCACTTACCAGGGGCCTACTATGTGCCAGATATTATGCTAAGTGCTTTTATAATAAAATAATTTCATCTAATCTTCCCAATAACTCTAAGATTTGGTTATTATCTTCAGTATCTAGATATTCAAAGGGAAGCTAACTAAAGTTAAGTAACCTGCACAAGATCAAACAACTAATAAGTGGAAGCTTACTATTGGGATCTACTACATTACAGGGCTTTAACTATATATACAATCATGGTAATGGTACACTTAGTAAATCCAGATATATAACGAATCAGTTATATTAATAATTAAACTATGCTGAGAAACCAAATGAAATATGCTCAACCAGGAAGTCACCACTGAGTCTTTGCTCATTTTCTTCTAATGAGTGATTCAATCCAAGACAAAATTCAAACCCAAGTACTTGACTCCAGAGCCCATGCTCTTCACCACCTGGCAAGATGGCCTCCCCCTTGTTCTCCTTCCAAATGTCTCTGGGAAAGTGTCCCCCAGCAAGTCTCCACACTGACTCCTCTGGTCCTTCAGCACAGGTGGCTGACAAGGACCCTTGAGAAGTTCTTTCTGGTTGCAGGAAGTGCTGTCTGAGCCCAGATTTTTAGTTCTGGCTCTGGCAGTCTGTGTGGCACCAAGGAAATCTCTTCACTTCTTTGAGTTTCCATACCCTTTTCTGAAAAAGGGGAATAAAATGGCACCTACCTCACAGGATCACTGTAGGGATTAAAAGCTAATGTACACAAATGTGTAAAGGGCTTCATTATTTTTAATTGCCATGATAATAATGGAATTGTCAAGATCGTCAAAAATGGTATATAGTAAGATAGGCTGTCTGACCTTTAGGATACTGTGAAGCATAATAATTTTCTTCTAGAGCAAATGCATCAATACTTTGGGAGGTTAAATCTTGGAGTTCAATGAAGAGAATTTCCAATTAAAACTTTCTCTTTCTTTTGAACAGTCTGGTAAAATTCTGACACTCATCTACAAAGTTAGGATTGCTTTCAGATATGACTCTTGTCAAACCATAATTTCAGGAAGGAGCTATACCCCAAAACCATAGTTATTTAAAGAATTTCAAAAGACTGTTTTTCAAGAAAATCTAGTAAATGGTAAAAACAGGGAGATTTTTGTGAGGAAAGAAAAATTCTTTATATCAGAATATTTTTAGGAAAGGAAATAACAGTGGTTGTGATTATATAGATCAGTAATGCATATATCTACAGGAAAATGTATCTCCCTAAATATTATAATAAAAAAGAATTATTACTATTCATAATCAGTAACTTATTGCAAATATATAACCCAATTCACAATAAATTATAGAGTCATATGTATATGCACTTAATTTGCCAAAACACTCATAAAGTTTAATGAAGTTAACTCCCAGAAAGCAGATTTATTACTATTCACTTAATATGAATGAAGCAAATAAAAAGTGCTTAACAATAAACATGATGTGTTGGTCATTAGAACATGTCCACTAAAATACTCAGTTTGCTTAATTCTTTCCTTTATGGTCAAATTAGGCCATATCTAAGCCCATTTACTTTATGGTATCCACTCAGCTATGCATTCTTTCTGATATTTCCTTTATTTTGAATCTGCTCTAAATCTTGTGATATGCCTGGCATATTCAGGCTTAGATCTCGCCAAGGAATTAATCAAAAGTTGGTGCTTTCTGGCACCACCAGGTTTAATTGCTTGGACTTGGGTTAGCTGAAAGGCACAAGGCCAATAAAACTTGCCAGAAAAAAAAAATACAGTAAATTTAGCACTTACTGCCTTGAGGTCTTCATTAACATGAGTATCATTCATTATAAACTCAGGATAGCCAACTTTTGCCAAAACAGCTCTTGCCTATAAAAAGTAAAAAGAAAAAAAGAAAAATGATGTCAGAGTTTCAGCGTTTAAATCATTATTACTCACAGGACATAGGCATGCAACCTTCATCTGAAGCTCCATTTACCAAGTATCTAGTATATGTAAGCCACTGCAAAGGGCAAAAAGAAAAAAAAATAGTAAGTTACTCTCTGCCCACAATATACTAAAAATGTAGTGAACATAGTAAATAAACAAAATTAAAGTTTCAATAAAAACAGACAACATTGTTATCAGAGTCCAGAGCAGAGATTATTTCTTCATGGAGAAAAATGCTTAATGGAGAAGGTAACCAAGTCAAGTCTTAGGGAATGGTTAGGATTTTAAAACCTGAGAGGAAGAACATTCCAGGAGAGGAAACAACAGAGTCAAAGAGTAGGAGGATAAAATATTGGCAAATTATGCACTTAATAAGGGGTTAATACCCAAATTATATAAGAAACTCAACCCAATAATAAGAAGTGCAAACTTGATTAAAAAATGAAGAAAGGATGTAAACAGACATTTTTCAAAAGAAGACATAAAAATAGCCAAAAGGTTTATGAAAAAGTGTTCAACATCATTAATCATCAGGGAAATAAAAATTAAATGCACAATGATATTACCTCGTATCTGCTAACATGGCTGTCATCAAAAAGACAAGTGTTAGCAATAGTGTGAAGAAAAGAGACCCTTGTACACTGTTGGGGAGAATATAAATTAGTGTGATCACTATGGAAAACACTATGGTGGTCCCTCAAAAACATTAAAAATGGACCTACCACATGATCCAGCAATTCCATTTCTGGATATATATTCAAAGCAAATGAAATCAGTATGCCAAAGAAATATCTACACTCCCATGTTTATTCAGCATTATTCACAATAATCAATATATGGAGTCAACCTAAGTGTCGATCAATGGATGAATGGATTTTTTAAATGTAGTAGGGTTGGTAGGTGGTGTGGTGGCTAGGGGCGCTGGACTCCTACATGGCCGACCACAGCTTGAGTTCCAAACCTGGAAGCTTATTTTCTCATTTTTACTCTCACTCTCACTCTGTCCCTCTCTGGTCAAATTAAAATTAAGTAAGTAAGTAAGTAAGTAAGTAAGTAAGTAAGTAAGTAAGTAAGTAAGTAAGTAAGTAAGTAAGTAAGTAAGTAAGTAAGTAAGTAAGTAAGTAAGTAAGTAAGTAAGTAAGTAAGTAAGTAAGTAAGTAAGTAAGTAAGTAAGTAAGTAAGTAAGTAAGTAAGTAAGTAAGTAA